GGTGATCTTTAAAAAAAATAAGTCCACATGCCTCACTCTTGTTTTTAAAACCATACAGTGGCTCCCCATTTCACATGGGGTAAAAGCCAAAGTCCTTACAGATGCCCCATATAGCCTTGTTCCATAATACCTCCGATCTCTTCTCCTAATACCCTCCCCTTGCTCATTGTACTCCATCCAGCCAGTCTCTGGAATTCACCAAGCATACCACTTCTGCCTTAGGACGTCTGCATGGGCTGTCCACTCTATCTGGAATATTCTTCCTCCCCCCAATTATCCACCTGGCAAATGCCCTTGTCTCCTTCATGTCTTGGCTCAAATGTCATCTTCTCAATGAGAACATACTTAACAGTTGCACCTTCCCCATAAAACATTCTTGATCCACTTTACCCTATTCTTTTTCTTTCTATGTAGTATTTTACAATGTCCTATGTAATCTATCTTTACTAATGTACACACAAGTGTTCTGCATAGTAATAAGCAATCAATTGCTTTGTCTTAAAAATACTATTTTACATTCCATTTTTCTTCTATAATGTCTTTTCATACAAATAATAATGTTACTTTATATCCATCAAGATGGGCCACAGGACTGTGGTTTCAAATAGTGTTTTTGTATCGAATTTCTTTTCTTTTTTACTTTTTAGATTCCATATATAAAAAAGATCATAATTTGTCCTTCTCTGTATTATTTCCCTAAGCATAATGTCTTTGAGGTCCATCCATGTTGTCACAAATGGCAAGATTTCATTCCTCTTTTTATGGCTGAATAATATTTGTGTGTGTGTGTGTGTGTGTGTGCATGTAAGACAATTTCCTTATCCATTCACCCATCGATGCACGCATAGGTTGTTGACATATCTTGGCTATTATAAATAATGCTGCAGAGAACATGGGGGAGCAGATATCTTTTCCAGTTCGTGTTTTTGTTTTCTTTGGATAAATACCCAGAAGGGGAAAGGCTGGATCTTATGGTACTTCTATTATTAATTTTTAAAAGAAACTTCATACTGTTCTCCATACTGGCTGCACCAATTTACGTTCCCAGCAACTGTACACAAGGGTTCTCCACAACCTCCCACCAACACTTGTTATTTCTTGTCTTTTGATAATAGCTATTCTGAAAACAAAAATAGCTATTCTGACAGGTGTAAGGTGATATCTCATTGTGGTTTTGAGATTTTATATACATATACACAAAACCCTTCAGCATCATAATGCTCACCCATATGCTCAAAAGCAGATATCCATAGGACTCCCGCAGGAGAGGTGCAGACAAGTTATTGCCAGAATAAGAGGTGGCAAACGGTGGCATTTAACAAGGGTGTGTCCAGGGGAATGTAATTCAGCTTTTCTTGAAGACTCAGAAGAGGTTTGAGAATTACTCAATGCTGCTGTTTTATCTGCATGTCATCCATTCCTTGTGTTTTCTGTGTGCACAAGTGCTAAGAAAGGAGATACGTGGCCAATAAAATGCAGAACTGGAGAGAATACGGCTTCAAAGTCAATTAAAACGTAAACTACCAAAACAACTTTGAGTTCAAAAACAGAACAACTTTAATAGTTGTTAAACTCGCTCTACTGTGACTTGCTTAAATATTTAAAACTCAAAATCCATTTCATAGCATAATTTTTTCAACTGCAGAAGTGATTACGTTATGGTTATGAGGCTCCAGATGAATATAACTGGGTGAGTTATCAAGAAATGAATTGACTTCTTGGGGTTTTTTGCTCCCAAGAATCATCACAAGGAAGAAAGTAAGGGGTGATTTTCCCCAAGACCAGGCAAGCTTTAGTGTACTAGAATTTGGGACTCTCCCTCCCGGGGGATGCAATTTCCTTGGTGTTTGTTTATTTGATTGGAAGGCTAATCCAAATAGGTCTTTTCTGGAGGAAGACCTAGGCTAATTGAGATAACCACCCTAGATTGTCTGTGAGGATAACTGGATGCACAAACAGCATTTTGGAGGGGATGGGGTGGACTATAGAGAAGGGAGTCAGGCAGGTTTGCTAAGACAAGAAGCCAGAGGGTGGGTCTGGACAATGACCATCAGGGGTTACCAAGAACACATAGGTCACATCCTCTCCCAATTTTTCCTGGGTCCTGGTGAGACCCAGGGGAAAGGAAAAGAACAATTTGCTATTTGGGTGGTGGGGAATTGGGAGACTGTTATCAGATTTTTGTTGATCTTGGCAGGTAGAAGCTTGGAGCCAGATATGATATGACTTACAAAAATAAGGAAATGTGCTTGTTTTATATTTTGAGTACTGAGAAGTAATTCTTTCCTTTTACATCTTTTTTTTTTGTTTTCTGTTCTTGAGCAAAACTCCTTCTATGGGTAGACTAGTTTTCTTTCATTCCCTTCACCTCATTTCCACGCACCTTGGTTTCCCCAGGGTAGCCACAGCAGCTGGATGCCCTTATGCTGGTCTTGCAGTTCCTAAGTCCGTGTCTCCCACAGTGCTGTACACCACCACCTGGTGAGCACCAGAAATGCATCACCCCCTAGTCTGAGAATCTAGTATGCCTACTTCCTAAATGGTTCCACGAGTCTTCTTCCTGTCCTTCAAGAATCTTTTTTTTTTTTTTTAAGATTTTTCAAAATTTATTTACTTAGGGGCTCCTGGGTGGCTCAGGTCATGGTCCTGGGGTCCTGAGATGGAGCCCCACATCGGGCTCCCTGCTCAGTGGGAAGCCTGTTTCTCCCTCCCCCACTCCCCCTGCTTGTGTTCCCTCTCTCGCTGTGTCTCTCTCTCTGTCAAATAAATAAATAAAACCTTTTTAAAAAATTTATTTACTTAGAGAGCAAGCGAGAGAGAGAGAGAGAGCATGAGTGGGGGGGCGGTGCAGAGGGAGAAGCAGACTCCCCGCCGAGCAGGGAGCCCGATGTGGGACTCGATCCCAGGACCCCGGGATCATGACCTGAGCTGAAGGCAGACCCTTAACCAACTGAACCAGCCAGGCGCCCAAGAATCGTTGAATTACCACATGACCCAACAGTTCCACTCCCAGGTACACAACCCCCGCAAAATGAAAACGTGTTTACACAAAAGCATGGATATGAATGTCCACATATAAGACAAAACTGCACAGAGCTAAACACACACACAAACAAATGAATGCATGGAAAAAAACACAAAATTTGAATAAGGTCTATGCATTGCATTAACGGCCATTTTCTGGTTGCACTACCATACTTAGTTACTCATAATAGCCCCAAAATGAAAATAACTCAAATATCCATGAACTGGTAAATGAATAAACAAAATATGTAATATCCATCTAATGGAGTATTATTCGGTCATAATAAGGAATGAGATACTGATACATGCTACAACATTGACAAAACCTGAAAACATTATGCTGAGAGGAACCAGACACAAAAGAACATATTTTATGATTACATTTATATGAATTATTTAGAATGGAGATAGAAGTAGATTATAGATTACCAGGGGCTAGGAGAACAGAAACTGGGAGTGACTGCTAACACACTGGGTTTCTTTTTGAGGTGACAGAAATATTCTGGAATGAATTAGATAGTGGAGATGGCTGGGCAATATCGTGAATATACTAAAAACCACTGAGTTATACACTAAAAAATGGTGAATTTCATGTTATATGAATTTAAAAGTTTAAGATTCTAAAGCCAAAAGAAAGAAAGAGAGAGAGAGGGAAGAACCCATTAGCCTTGAGCCCCAGCTATCCCCTTCTTGGTGACATAATCTGACAGCTTGCCCTCCAGCTCCAAGGGTCCGCTGTCTATCCCCCCACAGAGGACAGTACAAGGCTAAAGACCCCGCCCCCAGCCATTGTCCTTCCTGGCCCCACAGCAATGTCTCAACTCCAGCTCTGCTCTGAGTGATGGCTGCTGGCCAAGTTCGCCAGCCCTGTCTGGACATGCTGATTTGGAGCCCCCGAAGGACCTGCCACCTGCATCACCCCTGAAGTGTAGACACTGTACCTCAGGAATCCAGCCATTCCTTTCAATTTCCTTTGGCCTGAGAAAACGGGTCTTGGACTCTGTTTTCAGAAAGAAAGATACCTTCTTGAAGTGTGTCAACCTCCAAAATTATGTTAAAATCCTAACCCCCAGTACCTTACTGGATATAATGTCTTTACAGAGGTCATTACATTAAAATGAGGTTATTTTAGGGTAGGTGAGTCCTAATCCAATACGACTGGTATCCTTATAAAAAGGAGAAATTCGGACACGGACACACACAGAGAGAGATGATGTGAAGATACACAGGGAGAAGACTGCCATGGAACTGGAGAGCTGCATCTGCGAGCCCAAGAACCACGAGACTTGCCAGCAAACACAAGAGTTGGAAGAGGCAAGGAAGGATCTGCCCCCAGAGCCTTCCAAGAGAGCATGGCGTGGCCAACACTCCTGACCTCAAGATCTGGGAGAAACAATTCGTGTTGTGTGAAGCCACCTGGTTTGGGTACTTTGTTATAGCAGCTCTAGGAAACTTATGTGTGTATAAAAGCACAGGGTTGTTGGAGTGTGGACAGCAGAGATTCCTACATTTAAAAAAAAAACCGGGGCGCCTGGGTGGCTCAGTCGTTAAGCGTCTGGCTTCGGCTCAGGTCATGATCCCAGGGTCCTGTGATCGAGCCCCGCATCGGGCTCCCTGCTCTACGGGAAGCCTGCTTCTCCCTCTCCCACTCCCCCTGCTTGTGTTCCCTCTCTCTCTGTGTCTCTCCCTGTCAAATAAATAAATAAATAAACAAAAAACCAAAACAAAACATCAGTGCTACTCATAAATGGAACAGACCACAGATAGTTTGGACAAATGGACAACCTGAAGGGATCTCGAGGGGATTACGCTGGGAGGAAAAAAGACCAACTCTAAAGGTTACAAACTGCCGATTCCATTTATAAGCATTCTTCAAGGGACGAAATCCTAGGGATGGAGCATAGATCGGTGGTTGCCAGGGCTTCGAAAGAGGCTGAGAGAGGAAGGTGACTGTGGCTGTAACAGAGAAGGAGGAGGGATCCCTGCCACAGGTCCTGTGCCCTGTCCTGACAATGTGGTCACAGACGGATCTGTGTGTGACAAACCTGCGCTAACTACGCGCGTGAATGCATGCATGGAAAACCGACAAAATCTGCTGAAGGCCTGTGGATCTTCATGAAGGTCAGTTTCCTAGTTGTGATACTGTATTAGAGTGATTCCAGATGTTACCACTGTGGGAACAGACTGCAGCCCAGAGATGTCTCATCTTGCCTAACTTCAGTCCTATAATCGGGAATTTCTGACTGTGCACCCGGAGCTCTCTCATTACAGACGGGTCTTTAATAACGTCAGGCTTCACTTGAGATCCCGAGAAAGGAAGGAAAAAACAAAAAACCCCACCCGCAAAAGAGCAAGACGGCAGAGTAGGAGAACTCGTCCGAAGAGAGGTACTAAGGCGCGGAGAGGAGTAACTGTCAGGCCCTTCGTCCTTCTCCTCCCTCCCGCGCCCCCTTCAACTGTCTGACATTTTCTTGGGGAAGAAATTCGCAACTGGATTAAGGCAAAGTGCTGTTGCCAAGGCGCAGCAGGCGGCACAGGGGGCAGGACTCCCGACCAGCCACAGAGCGGCGACACCTCCGTGGCCACCCGGACCGGAGGGACCAGCGGCGCACAGGGCCACTCGCCCGCCAGCCCGGCAGAGCAGGGACACTTGGGACGTCGAAGCCGGAGTGACAGGCGGAGACAAGCGCAGGGAAGTGACCCGGCGCCGCAGAAAGCAGGTGTGAACGCCCACCGGCCGTGCTCACTGGTAAGAGTTTGCTTCCCGATGGTGCCGACTCCCTCTGCGACAGGACACAGGACCAAATGGACTTACTTCTGGGGTCCCCAGGGCCGAGGAGAGAAGAGGAGGAGGAGGACCCCAGGCTTCTGCAGGTGACGGTCAGGGTCCCCGCTCCGCGCAGCCAGCAGGGCTCCGGGGACGCGGGCGGCTGCGCGGGGGGCACGGCGGCGGCCAGGGCTTTTTCGAGAGGAGGGGGTGGGGATGCTGAGTCACAGATCTGTCACTGCTTCTCACCTCTCCCCAGCCCTCCGGGGGCTAAAGCAAAAGCGAAAGCGAATGCGACTCGCGGGGCAGCCGGTCCCGGGAGCTGCGCCCAGCACCTCCTCCGGGACGGTCGGGCATCTGCCCGCGCGGCCGGCGGGGCGTCCGGGCCGCTGCGGGCCCAGGGCCCGGC